AAGGATTTGATCTCATCTTGCATGGCTGCTTACCATTGATCTTTCTGCTCATGACTAAAAACCTCTTCATACGACTCTAGTTCTCCCCCATCAATAAGCAACAAATACTCAAGAGCACTGTACCTGGTGGAAGGTTTCTTGTCTCTGGTGGACCTCCTTGGCTGGACAGGAGGTGATGAGACCGGTGGTGTCTCTGTTTCAGTAGCAAGATCATCATCAAACTCGCCATCTTGCTTTGTCTCAACTCCCCCTTCAGAAGAATCATCTGATTGTGAAGGAACTGGATCTAGATCAACAGGAATCTCAGGTGAAGATTCTGGCAACTCGCACTTTCCCATATCATCAATGGTCTGGTCCTCAAAGAAGATCACATCTCTACTTCTTAAAACTTTCTTCTCTACAGGATCCCAAAATCTGTACCCAAAATCATCATTTCCATACCCCAAGAATACACACTGCTTGGATTTGCCATCAAGCTTTGACCTTTCGTCTTTGGGAATATGAACAAAAGACACGACAACCAAAAACTCACAAATGTCCAAAAGAGACATCTTTCCCTGTCCAAACTCGTTGTGGTAGATCACTATCCAACGGAACTGAGGGAGATAGGTTGATCAAATCAACTATTGTCTGCATCACTTCAGCCCAAAAAGATTTAGGCAGCTTTGCATTCAAGAGCATACACCTAACCTTTTCGGTAATAGTTCTGTTCATTCTTTCTGCCATGCCATTCTATTGCGGAGTCTTCGGAACACTCTTCTGAAGTTTAATGCCATGGTCTCGGTAATACTTCTCAAACGGACCCCTGTACTCACCACCATTATCTGCTCGAACACACTTCAACTTCTTACCAGTCTCTCGTTCAACTCTAAGGTGAAAGCCTTTGAACACATCTAATATTTGATCTTTAGATTTAAAGAAAAACACCAAACCTTTCGAGCATAGTCATCAATGAAAGTAACAAAGTACAATGCTCCACCCAACGACCTATCTTTCATGTAACATACATCTGTATGAACTAACTCTAGAGGTCTGGACTTTCTAGATGGAGGAGAATTTTGAAAGGAAACCCTATGATGTTTATCATAGATACAGTCAACACAAGGTTCTAGAGCAGTACCTTTCACCTCAGGGGGAAATTGCTTCTTACCAAGAATCTGGAGCCCCTTGACACTTATGTGTCCAAGGCTTCTGTGCCAGAGATCAATGGAGGCATTGTGAGTTGCATTCACCTCTCCATTCTTCAACTTTGCATTCAACACATACAAAGAGTTCAATTTCTTTCCTCTAGCAATAACAAGATTCCCTCTAGTAATTTTCCAACGACCACCACCTTCAGTGCTATGATAACCCTCATCATCAAGTTTTCCAACGGAAATAAGGTTCAGATGCATACCCGGAACATGTCTGACATTCTTCAAGACAAGAGTACAACCTGTATTTGTTACCAATGATACCTCTCCTATGCCGACAACATCGCATGAGGTTTGATTGCTCATTCTTACACGACAAAAATCTCCAAGTGTGTAAGAGGTAAAGAAGTGTCTGTGAGGTGTCACATGATAAGACGCACCTGAACTACCGAACCAATCACTGTCATGACTCGCAACATTAATTATATCATCATCACAATACACAAATACATCACTGGTAGTTACTACTGCAGTAGTGTCATCATCACTTGATTCATCCTTCTTGCCTTTACCTTTTCTCACAACTAGTTTTCTCTTGAGAACCCTGCACTCCCTCTTAAAGTGCTCATTCCCTTGACAATGGTAGCATACGACATCTTTCTTGGATTTAGGCTGTCCCCTGGACTTGTCATTCCAATCACGTGGCCCTCTGCTTTTACTTCTTCCTCTTCTATCTGACTTTTCTGTCACCAGAGCCTGTGGCTCAAACTCAATACTCTGCTCTTTTCTTCTAACTTCTTCATCCATCAAAGTCTCTTTGACCTGATCCAAGGTCAAGACACCATCCTGGGTTGAATTACTGATTGACACTACGAAAGTGTCCTAACTGTCTAAAAGAGAACTAAATAATAACAAAGTCTGCACCTCATCATCCAACTTTAAACCTACATTCACTGTCTGGTTCAACAAACCCTGAAACGAATTCAAGTGCTCATTCATGCTAGCACCATCTTTGTACCTCAACCTGGTAATCTGTTTCAGCGCAGATGACTTATTGATTCCGGACTTCATCCAGTACATATTCTGGATTTTCTCCCAAAGTTCATCAGCTTTTGTTTCTCCCGAAAAGTGATGAAACACACTTTGATCAATCCACTGTCGAATATTACCAACAATTTTCCTGTACATATCAGCCCACTTTATCAGTCATATCACTTGGTCTACCTTCATCCCCTAGAATAGGATTAAACAAATCTTTACAATACAACAAATCTTCCATTCTAGGCTTCCACATATGATAATTGGATGAAGTCAATTTAATTATCGTACCAATACCCAAGGACTCTTCCATTTTATTGGTGTAACACCTAAACTACCAAACCGTAGCTCTGATGCCACTGTTGTGGTGAAAAGGACATAAACACAACACACTACGGAAGCGCACCCCAAGAAAATCTCCTTTCCTACTACCAATGAAATAGGACAACCAAACAAGCAAAATAATTCAAGAACTAATAAAATAAAGGAGGCACACGAATTTACATGGAAAACCCAAATCGAGAAAAGTCACGGGACTGTAACAACAGTCAAATCTCCACTATCACAATAATGAGAAACAGTCTTCACCAACTGGTGGATACACAGGACTTCACCCAAAGGAGGATTACAACAATACTCTTCCACACACACCTAAACCACAAAGTAGGATTGGAAGGATCTCACCAAAAGAGAGTTAAACCGAAAACTAAACCCTAGTTTTCTTTCTTTTTCTCTCGTACAAAAACAATACACGGCTGCCCAAACTTTTCTTCTCTTCTTGGCTGGAAAACACACACGCACATAAGGTTGTGTGCAACCTTGCTTTTATAAGCAAACAAAACCAAAAACCAAAACCCAACTATAGAGGGTTTTGTTCTCCCCGTCAAAAACCAAAACCAACTTGGCTTGATTTTATTTCCTTTCTCGTTGGCCCAATTGGAGGGGAACCGGGCCCAACATATTGCACCTGATATGCTTTATATTTTATCAGTTCCTTCAGACGATCAACGATGAAAAGAAACCCATCAGAGTCAAAATAACACAGATCACCGGTCTTTAACCACCCATCTGGATCCAATGTCCCAGTTGTTGCTTGAGGATCTCCAACATAACCTGCAAATTAATCACCCAATGCTTCTCCAATTTAATATCCCAAAGGAAGCTAACTTATCATCATATATAAAGACGGTGAAAGTGGACAATTAAAATAGGATGGTAATTAAAATTAATTTACAATACAAGAGACTAAGGTGATCGAATAGGGTGCTAAAGGATATGATACACCTTTCATGATTAGTGGCCCTTGCAGCCGCAATACACCTTGTTGACCAGGAGGTAGTGCCTCTTTAGTAACAGTGTCAATAATCTTTGCTCTGATATTCTCAACCAGGCGACCAACAGACCCAAAACGCTCTGCCACCTCAGGCCATATCATCCTGGCCAGCAGCTCCGGAGCTCTCAGTCATACCATATCCCTACAATCAACATTATTTCAAAAAGATATCTTTCAGAGCTCGAATCATTTTCCTTTTCTAATATGGATGTAACGATTGAGCAAACTTGCAATACACTTGATGTTTGAAAACTCGTAAACGAATTTGCACTGTGACTGATGTGGTGTATGTGATAACGTGGCATTAATAACACAGCCATATTATATTCACTTATGTGGCTTCCAAAACCAGTCGATTACAAGGAATTTTCAGTATGAATGACATGATTGCTCCAAAAACAACAATATTTTTTTTTTCAATACAAAAGGGGTATGTCCTAAGAGCAATATAATGAAGCCGTGACAAATTAATTTAAAATCGTACCTTATAAGTATATAGGACAGGGGGAACACTATGAAGTGTCATTATGTGTCAAATAGACATCAAACATTTTTGACAAATATACAAAGTTTCTATGTACCCGATTTCAAACCGCGTCCCTTTCCATCAAGAAAAGTGGATAGATACATTGAAGATTAGTATGTCTTCTGCGCAAAGACTCCATACAGTACAACTTTATTAACAAAACTAACCATCATAATTGTCAAGTAAACATCAAATTTTTTGGAAAATATCTATATTTTATTTTTTCTGGAGGTAAAGGTGTGGTTGCAAAAATTAAGAAACGTCAAGACTCCATTAAGTAGCAGTCAGTAAACTCACACTCGTTGTAACAGTGAGTTCTATGAAATTAAGAAAGCAACTTTTTTATGAGGTAAGCAAATCATACTTAGCCTATTCATTACTATTATTAGTAGTAAAATTTCCGATGATTAGATCCTTAAAATTATGAGCAAAAAAACGTAGGGCCCGACAGAACCTATGACGACAAAACATCCTTATTCCTTCCTAAAATTTGTTATAAGGTTTTGGGCAGTCAACAAACAAACAAAGAAGAAAGTAAATGGACAAAGAAAATTCTACAATTCATGCCTGAATTATGTCGACGCGTGGAAAACGCGCGACGAATCTTTGGAGAGAGCGTTGGCCGAAGAGACGGTGATTCCAAGGGAGAGCAGAGAGAAGTAGAGAACAGGGATGTGGAAGAAAGGAGGAGCGTGGATGAAAGCGACATCGTTCTTCGAGATGGACGGGAAGCGGGATTGGAGAGTGGCTGAGAGGGAGCGGACTTGGTGGAGGAAGCTCGAGTGCGACAGCTGCCGGCCGGAGGCGGCGTCGATGAGGAACGGAGTATGGAGATTGACGGTGGAGTTAGGGGATGTGATGGTGGTTTGGAGGAGGGATGGGGCATATTCCGCAATCGAAATCGGTTGAGAAGCCCGCGATAAAGGAACTGCCGGTCTGAGGCTGTGGAAAATCTTTGTTTCCGAGCAAAATCCACTTCTTGGGTCGATGTTTTTCGGTTCTGCCATTGCTGCGAGTTATTTTTATTGTCTTTAAAAACAAAAAGGAAGAAATGGTATAAGATGCGAGGTATAAAAATGTATTTTATTGCAGTATGTTGTAGTACTATACTAGTTCGGGAAAATTAAGAAAGTTCTGATAGTGACCAGTTTTCAGTTTGCTATAAATAAAATGAGGAGTTGCTTCCATTGCGGGTTGAGTTTAGCGATTATCTGATAACGAGTTACTATTCAATTTCGACGGTTCATTATTCGAAATTATTGAAGTGATAACTCACATCATATGTGATGTTATCAATCGTTATACTATGATATGATAAATTTCCCATTTCAGCGTACGTGAAAGTGACCAATTTTTCCTTGATAAACATTTGTGTTCTCAGAAAAGATCACCATCATATATATTGCTTCATGTGTAACATGAATCTTCTTCTTCTTTTGTTTTTTTTTTTTTTTTTTTTGTTTTTTGGAATACAAACATGCGGCAATCCTAATTCCTAAATGTAGAAATACATCTTCTTCTTCTTATTTTTCACATAGAGATAACTTGAAATAAACACATATCACACTCAAATTAATTCTTATTTACTGTTGGGACAAATATATCGTCTTGCAGAACCTAAAGTTCTTTAATAGCAAATCAGGTCAAACGGTCCTTGAACTCGTGCGCTAAAGTTCAACAAAACATCCATGGTATGAAAACGTTAGGACTTGTTTCATAATTTAGATGAAGAAGCTGATAAAGAATGGCTAACTAGCTCCCTTCTCAGAATCTTTCCAGATGGACTTTTTGGAATTGCATTGATGAATACTACCCGCCGTATCTTCTTGTATGGTGCAACCTTTGATGACAGGAAACGAAGACAAGAACACAATTACAACATGCGAGCCTACTGACTACATTTGTTTCTCATCTACTTAGATTCTTCACATCAAAGAAATTTCAGAAGGAAGCAAAAATAGTTTAGTTTGAGGTTTATGACTAAGCCTGAATTTCGACTGCAAACGTATACTAAAAATACCTGTTGGGCAACAAAATCCATAATTTGAGTCTCTGTGACAGAGCTTCCAGGTTTTTTCACAATGTAAGCCATTGGAATCTGCCCGGCTTCTTCATCAGGATACCTGCACTTAGATGATATGATTATCAACCAAACAGTTTAAGAACTCGACATATGGACGGAAGAGGGTTCACATAGAAATGGTGGAATTCAGCTAAATCTGAACTACATACGGAATCACTGCCACATCAGCTACATCAGGATGAGACAGAAGCAAATGTTCTAACTCAGCCGGTGGAACCTGCATTTAAAACTCTTTATATGAGATCAAACTCGAAAGAAGAATGTTCCACACAATGTATTTTTTGCACGTATACCTGATATGCTTTGTGTTTTATGAGTTCCTTAAGCCGATCTACGATGAAAAGAAACCCATCAGAGTCAAAATAACACAGATCGCCAGTCTTTAGCCAGCCCTCTGTATCCAATGTCTCCGCAGTTGCTTGAGGATCTCCAACATAACCTGCAAATTAATCACCCAATCGTTGTTTATTCACAGGGATCGTTGCAGAATGAACATATTAGACAGAATCAGTACATGAGGATCCTTTGCACAAATACGCGTTACTTATTAGGTTCTCTCATCTATTCCATCATCTATTCCATCATAGTGCATTTTCTGTTTCCTTTCTCTTAATAACAACATAATGCAGCCTTTACTGCTGAATTGATATCTAGTACTCCCTCTGTCTCAAAATTATTGTCCAGTTTGTGATTTCACTTTTAGTACAATTTGAATTAGAAATAAAAACTCAAACTGGACAATAATTATAAGACGGAGTGAGTATGTAATACTAAAATGAATAAAAATTTACAGTTAAAGAGACTTTCTTGATCAGATGGGGTACAGGTTAAGAGTCACCTTTTACGATTATTGGTCCTCGCAGCCATAATTCACCTCGCTGACCAGGCGGTAAAGCCTGTTTAGTAACAGGGTCAACAATCTTTGCTTCGGTATTCTCAACCAGGCGACCGACAGATCCAAAACACTTGGCCTCCTCAGGCTTCAACATCCTGGTGGCCGCTCCTGAGCTCTCTGTCATACCATATCCCTGCAACCAACTTCATCTTAACAGGTTCAGAACTTGCGTCATCTCATACGTATAATGGATGTTACAGTCGGACCACTTCCTACAAGGTAAATGTTAAACTGAATTCTCGCAGGGACTAACGTCCTGACAGAGATAATAAGGCTGTAGAAATAAAGCTATATTCCGTGATGCAACTTCCAAAAGCTACACGGGCTATGATGATCAAGAGCGATAACTTTGGCGACAGGAATTTGGTTTCTTTGGGTGCCACAATGGTTTATTCCTAGACACCAAAGGCTAATCAGCCTTATCACTAGTGAGATACCGAATTAGTATCCTTGCTATGGATTCGTAGTAATGCACTTAGTATGTAGATAGACAATCATTTTACCTGATAGAGTAACATTCTTTTACAAATACTCCATCCGTTCAACAATAATATTCCACCGTATCATAAAACTTAAACCTTTGTTATATTTTTATTTTCTTTTATTTATTTATATTGTTGCAATTAAAAAATGTTCATACCTTACAAAGAAGTAGATACATTTGGGAAATAAGAAACTCCCGGTTACATCATGTTGCAGTCAAGGTTTAATTTCTCAGGGAGCTTATGTAAGATATTTTTGTTTTCTTTTAACTACAGTTTCTAGTGATAATCAAATCCAAAACCTAGTTATAGAAATCACTCAACCCAAACATCCAACCTTCCAACTGAATCTCAAAAGTAATCGAATGAAACCAATGATCCTTTCGTAGTACACATTATTATAGAACGAAATAAGTGCTAATGTTCTATTGCCCGATTCCATATTATCCTGAATATTTGGTAGATTCGAAACAATACATGATTAGCAAATTAGCAACAATTCCATACGAACGATACAAAATTATTAGAGAGAACTAAAAGTAGCCATCAAATTTTTGGACAATGATAATTTTCGATTTCCTGTGCGGAAAAAGTTACAAAATTTGCGAATGAGGAATTAGTTCAGTGGTAAAACTACCCTTACTCCAAGAGGAGGTTATGAGTTCAATCCCCCACTCTAACAAAAAGCGAGGAGTTGGCTCTCACTTTACTTATTAACACCTTTAGGGGCTTGTTATTACTAACACACTAATGAACTCCTGATTTTGCACCCAAACTTGTCACCCCAAGGTTACCTAGAGTGGTTTATGTCCCACCCAAACTTGTCACCCCAAGGTTACCTAGAGTGGTTTATCTCCCACTATAGTTTGCAGGCTATTACAATGGCCGTGGGATTACCCATCTCTGGTGGGGTTACCGGCGTCACAAAAAAAAAATTGCAAAATTTGCGTCGAGCCAGGGATTGGTCCACTTTAAAAATTGAAACAGAGAAAGTCAACAGTCAACTCCAAAGATGTACGCCAAAGAAGCAGAATAAGCCAAACGAAAAAATTCAAAATACGTGCCTGAATTATATCGACGTGCGGAAACCGCGCCACGAACCTTTCAGCAACCTCCTTCCCAAGCGGCGCGCCACCGCAGCCGACCAGCCGGAGAGACCTCACGTCGTACCGATCCACCAGCTCCGACTTCGTCAACGCCACCACGAGCGGCGGAGAAACCGTCATGTACGTCGCCCGGTACTTCTCAACCGCCTTCAGCAAATCCTCAAAATCAAACCTATTCAACAGAACAACCGTCTCGCCCGCGGCAGCCCCGATGATCAGCATAAAAACCCCCATTACGTGAAACAGAGGCACGGGTAAAACCGAGACCGTGCGACCCGATTCCTGGTCAATTCCGACGTATCTGTTGTAGAACATTCCCGCCGTGATCGCAATTAAATTACGGTGAGTCACCTGAACTCCCTTCACTCGACCGGTTGTTCCGGAAGAGTAAAGAATCGCCGCCGTGTCATCTTGATTGACAACCCCGAGGCTATAATTTTTACTGATTTTGATGGTTATCATGGACAGGAATTGGGGCGAATCAAGAAGAATTGTAATGAATCGGAAGGACGGAGGAAGTTTGGGCAAAATTGATGAGGTGGTGAATACGACGGCGGGTTTAGTCAGCTGAAACAAGTGAGTCAACTCGGAAGTGGTGGAAAGAGGGTTGGCCGGAGAGACGGTGATTCCGAGGGAGAACAGAGAGAAATATAAAACAGGGATGTGGAAGGAAGTAGGGGCGAGGACGAAAGCGACATCGTTTCGGGAGATGGACGGGAATTGGGATTGGAGGGAGACGGAGAGTGAGTGGACCTGGTTTAGGAATCTCGAGTGGGTGAGCTGCTGGCCGGTGGCGGCGTCGATGAGGAACGGAGTGTCGAGAGTGACGGTGGAGTCAGGGGATGTGATAGTGGCTTGGAGGAGGGATCGAGCGTATTCCGCCACCGATATTGGTTGAGAAGCCGGCGGTAATGAAACCGGCGGTCTGAGGCTGTGTAAAATCTTTGTTTCCGAGCAATATCCACTTCTTGGGTCTATGATTGTGTGTTCCGCCATTGCTGTGCGTGAGTTTTCTTGCAACAATGGAGCAGAGTGTATTATATGTATTTTTCTAAAATACTGTATAAATTAGTAGTATTACGGTGGAAACGTAAAGGACTTTGAAAATTATGAAATGATGGTGACCAATTTGCTGCAGACAAATAGAGAAAACGATGCTCGATGATGATTAACAATGGAAAATTTTCACCGTCTTTTATCATTAATCAAAAAAAAAAAAAAAAAAACTTTTATCAGTTGGATCAGCTCCATAATGAAAGCTGAATTAGAGGCATGTATCAAGGCTTAAAAATGAAGCACTTTTAATGTTGTAGTATGTAGTAACATTGCGGTAGAGTTGCATAATCAAAGTGTGGTTGAAATGATGTTGAATGGCCGAAGGCGCCCAATTTCTCATTCTTGTCTCATTTAATGGGATAAAGGATATGCTAACGATAGAGTGGTAAATACAAATTGGACATTTTCTTCTTAAAAGATATACTCCTGCCATATTTGTTTCTAGACAAAAAGTCAAAAAACTTCAAGAAAGAGAGTTACAAATTCTTTGGTATGGCATAGAACGTAGACAACTAGTGATGTGCTTTTAACTATTTGCAATAAAAAAGAAAAGCATTTGGACAACTTTGTTGATTACTTTGTAGTCGGAAAACAGTATTACAGACATACAGGCTTACAGCACCATCAACTTCATGTGGAGTTTCAACCATTTATCTACTCTGGTACTCCTCTGCTGTCTGCTCTTTCCCTTTTATGTAAACGCTAATTTTCATCACAAGAAACATCTAAAGCATCCTGCCATGAGCCGTTGACGTACTCCCTCCAATGACTTAAAAAGAGAATACAATGGATGTGAAAATATATTTTTAAAATTTTTTCTTCAATCGAAAAAACATATTATGTGAAACTTAGTACACATCAAAATGCCTTATAATACGGACCGGAGACAGTACTTAATTTCCATAAAATTACATAATACACAGTTTTTCCAAGTTTTAAAAATTTCATAATACACAAACCAAATAAATTCCCGACGTGAACATCTGTTGAGGTCTCCAAAATTTCACCCATCTGTAAAAATTAGAACTTCATAATTTTGATGAAGAAGCTGATACAGCTTGACTAACCAACTCCCTTCTTAAAATCTTTCCAGATGGATTTTTTGGAATGGCTTTGATGAATGATACCCGTCGTATCTTCTTGTATGGTGCCACCTTCACGAGTGGACAACAAGACAATAACAAGAATCAAGTTACAACAAACATCTGACGGGGAAAAAAATTTGAAAAACAGAAGGCAACTCCAAATTTTTGGCTGTCTATGAAGATGCTGCAGCCTGAAGCTTCTTCAGTCTTTCCTTTATCTATTTTTTGGAAATACAAGTTCATGTTTCCATCATCTATACATAATCAAATAGAGAAACTAGCTTGAAAAAGTTTTTCGTCAATTCATTTGTTAGATTTCATGGATCCGAAGGGTAATCCGAAGTGAGCAAAACGCTGGAATTTCTTTCGAGGCTACTATGCTTATATTACCTGTTATTGAATACCAGATCTCTTTTACAGCAAGCCAATTTCAGAAAGAAGCCAAAAAGATTTAATCTTGGGTTACATGATTATACCTGAATTTCGACCATAACATTTGGAAGGTACCTGTTTCGCAACAAAATCCAGAATTTGAGCCTCAGTGACAGAGCTTTCAGGTTTTCTCACAATGTAAGCCAAAGGAATCTGCCCTGCTTCTTCATCGGGATATCTGCAATAAGATGATATCAACAAAGAAGTATTAGAGCTTGACATGCAGAGAAGGTTCACATGGAAGGGGATTTCTCCTAAATCTGACTTAAACGTACGGAATCACTGCAACATCAGCGACACCAGGATGAGCTTGAAGCAAATGTTCCAACTCAGCTGGTGGAACCTGCATGTAGAAGTCATTGGTTATCAAACTATAAAAAAAAAAAAAAATTTAAAAAAAATTAGAAGTTTCCAAAATCTGTCTCGACACAATATGTCTGCTAGAACAGAAAACATGAGTAAAGCTGCGTGCCTGATATCCTTTGTATTTTATGAGTTCCTTAAGTCGATCTACGATGAAAAGAAACCCATCAGAGTCAAAATAACACAGATCACCAGTCTTTAACCACCCATCAGGGTCCAATGTCTCAGCTGTTGCTTGAGCATCTCCGACATAACCTGCAAATCACCAATGGTTCTCCAGTTTATTCATGAAGATTGCAGCAGAATGGAAAAACCAGCTGCAATAAAATCATGAAGATCCATTCTACGGATTCGCAATACTTGGCTTCTCTCGTCTCTGCCATAACAGGAAATTTTCTCTCTTTCCTCTCCTACTATCAACATAAAACAAGGAGAAACTTCTTTTTAGCTAATCGAAATTTCAATTGCAAGTGAAGTTAAATTGCACCTGGAGCTCTACATAGCTAGCTTAAACTGCAGCCTTTTAATGCTGAAGTGATATCTATTATGTGATACTCCTAAAATGAGAGAAAATTTACAATGAAACATAGAATTTGGTGATCAGATAGGGTGAAGGATGCGACTCACCTTTCATGACTGTTGGCCCTCTCAGCCATAATTCACCTCGCTGACCAGGTGGTAAAGGCTCTTTCGTATCAGGGTCAACAATCTTTGCTTCTAAATTCTCAGCCAAGCGACCGGCAGATCCAAAACGCTTTGCCTCCTCAGGCCTTAACATCCTGGTGCCCGCTCCTGTGCTCTCAGTTAGACCATAACCCTACAACCAATATAATCTCAAAAGGATTAAATACACCCAGAACTCACATTATTCACATTATCACATTATCATATTATTTTAAAAACCCAGAACTCACGCTGACTAACTTGGTGGTGTCTGCAATAACACGACGTTGACAATATAGTTATATTCAGTTATGTGGCTTCCAAATTTCAAAGCAGGCAGTTAAAAGGAATTCCCAATATGAATGGCATTGCTCCAAAAGATACAAAGGATATGATCTAAGAGCAAGACAGGTGCGGTGGAAGGAATTTGCCTTTTTTGGATACCACTATCCAATTTTTACACCCCAAAATTTTTACAACAAAAATTTATAGTTTAAAACCTATTATATCAAGTCATGAAATTCTAATTTTCTATTATACGATTCCACTTTGTGTTCCTAGACATCCATAACACAAAAGATCTCCGGTAACATTTTGTATTAAACTTTCTTTAATATATCAAAAATCCCATAAAGGCAATATAAACTTTTTTTGAGACGGTGGGAGTACTAGTGATTTGACAGAGGGATTATTTTTTAGTCGCAAAATTATCCAGTTTTGATTTTCAGTAGTAGTTCAATTTACAATAAAAACAAAATCTTAACCGACAAGTTGCAAAAATTCTTATGTTCTTCTTTGGGCCGGGCCGGGGTCTGCTTAAAACTAACTGGAGAAAGTCAACACCGCCAAAGAATGCCGTAAACGGAAAAAAGAAAACTCAAAAAAGCATGCCTGAATTATGACGATGAATGGAAGCCGCGCCACGAACCTTTCAGAAACCTCCTTCCCAAGCGGCGCGCCGCCGCTGCCGACCATCTGGAGCGAGCTCAAGTCGTACCGATCCACCAGCTCGGACTTCGCCAACGCCACCACGAGCGGCGGAGAAACTGGAATGGTCATAACCTTGTACCTCTCAACCGCCTTCAGCAAATCCTCAAAATCAAATCTATTCAACAGAACAAAAGTCTGCCCATTCGCAGCCCCCCGGATTAGCATGAAAAACCCAAATACGTGAAACATCGGCAGCGGAAATAAGGAGACTAAACGATTTGATTCTTGCCCAACTCCGACGTATCTGTTGTGGAACATACCGGCTGCAATCGCAATTAAGTTCCGGTGAGTCAACTCGACTCCCTTAACTCGTCCGGTTGTCCCGGATGAGTAGAGAATCGCTGCCGTGTCATCTTGATTGACAACTCTGGAGTTCCCATTCTCAACACTTTTGCTGGAGATCATGGATAGGAATTGGGGCGAATCAAGAAGAATGGTATTGAATTGGAAGGAGGTAGGAAGCTTGGGCAAAATAGATGAAGTGGTAAAGACAATGGCTGGTTTAGTTAGCTGAAACAAGTGATTCAACTCGGTAGTGGTGGAAAGAGGGTTGGCCGGAGAGACGGTGATTCCAAGGGAGAGCAGAGAGAAGTAGAGAACAGGGATGTGGAAGGACGGAGGGGAGAGGATGAAAGCGACATCGTTTCTGGAGATGGACGGGAAATGGGATTGGAGTGAGACGGAAAGGGAGTGGACTTGGTTGAGGAAGCTCGAGTGAGTGAGCTGCTGGCCGGTGGCGGAATCGATGAGGAACGGAGTTTCGAGAGTGACGGCGGAGCCGGGGGATGAGATGGTGTCGTGGAAGAGGGACCGGGCATATTCTGTAATCGAAATCGGTTGAGAAGCCGGCGGTAATGGAACCGGCGGTCTAAGGCTGTGGAAAATCTTTGTTTTAGAACAATATCCACTTCTTGGGTCGATGTTTTTATGTTCCGCCATTGCTGTGTCTGATTTTTCGTTGAGTGACCAAATCTGCTATAATTAAAAGGGTGAATTAGTAGATACATCCCAACCGTTTACACTAGTGTGCTAATTCATTCCAACGTTTTAAAATTGATCAATTGAGTCTCAAGGTTATCAAAATTAAGCATATCCATCCAATGACCTGCAAAACAACAAAAATGACCTGATATAACAGATAAAAATCTATTGGGTTTAATATTTATTCTTTTTTTTCCTCTTTTTTTTTAATTTTTTTTGTCATTTTTTAGTTCATTAAAAAACAAACAAAATTTCTAAATTAAAAAAAAAACTCGAAAAAACTTACTTAATTAATCAAAATAATTTATGCATCACAAATGACATAATTGATAATTTTGGATAATCTCAAAATTAATTAATTTTTGAATACAAGATATATATATATATATGTGTGTGTGTAAGCATAATCATTCTATTTTTCACTCAAAATAAAGAAATTTTTTTGGAAAGTTTCTTTAAGTTTTATCGAAAAATTAAGATGAATCTGATTATAAAATAAATTAGATTCATTACAAATAAATTAAAGTTTTTAGTTTTTCCATTTGTAAATGTTGTTTTTGTTTCAATAAACTTAAAAAATTAAAACATTCAAATAAACAAAAGTAAAAAATGTTAAATATGGGATCCAAATAATTTTACCTATTATACCAGGTCACTTTTATTGGTTTGCAGGTCATGGGATAGATCTGCTCAATTTTGATAATCTTGGACGTAATTAATCAATTCTTAAACTTTAGAATAAATTCGGTAGTAGGGTATAAACGTTGGAATGTATATACTAATATTCCCATAAATAAAATGAGAATTGATGTTCAATAATTGTGATCGCATCAATCAATAATTGATAGTCACGGCATCAACATCACTTGCCATAATTGGTAATTGAAAATAAATTTTGAGAAACCTTTTTATCTTCTGAGTATATGGATTAATCAGTATAGTTTTTAACATCATACTGCGAGTGAAATCAAGCAACTTGCTATTACAAATTCTCAATTTACATTAAATCATATGGTTCCCAAAAAAAATTTTCAGTTATTCAATACTACAACAAAAATGATCCTCAATATTGAACTATTGGGGGTCTCATTTCTCCAAAATTCCATCCCACAGGCCACATCCTCCCATGTGTAAACGTGGGGAGGCTTGTTTCATAGTTTAGATGAAGCAGCTGATACAGCATGGCTAACTAGCTCCCTTCTCAAAATCTTTCCAGATGGATTTTTCGGAATTGCATTGATGAATGCTACGCGCCGTACCTTCTTGTATGGCGCAACCTTTGATCAAAGAAAGACAAGACAAGATCAGAAAGCACGCTATAATATGCATCAAATTATATACTATTAACATTCATACTTTTGACAGTCAAATGATATCCAACAGATAATATGTTTAACACTGATATTTTTCATTTGGAGAAGAAAGGGCTGTTGGAATCGAACACCATGTAAAAAATCCACATGAGCCTATTGTTTCTCAGAAATAATAGATCCTTCACAATATAGAACACCTGTTTTGCAGTGAATTCCATAATTTGAGCCTCGGTGACAGAACGTCCTGGTTTTCTCACAATGTAAGCCATAGGAATCTGTCCAGCTTCTTCATCAGGATATCTGCAATGAGATGATATCAACAACGCAGTCTTTGAACAAAACATGATCAGAAGATGCACACAGAACTGAAATTCTGCTACATGTGACTTATACATACGGAATAACTGCCACATCAGCTACATCAGGATGAGCTTGAAGTAAATGCTCCAACTCAGCTGGCGGAACCTGCAGTTAGAAGTCATTGATGATTAAAATAAAAAAAGTGAAAATTTCCCAAATTATGTTCCGGAACAATGTTGTACAAGAAGACAGCAAGACAGAGAAATGAGGTAAGCTACATACCTGATATGCTTTGTATTTTATAAGTTCCTTCAGCCTATCTACGATGAAAAGAAACCCATCGGAGTCGAAATAACACAGATCACCAGTCTTTAGCCAGCCCTCTGGGTCCATTGTTTCAGCTGTTGCTTGAGGATCTCCAACATACCCTGCGATCACCCAAATGTTCTCCAGTTTATTCACAAAGATCAAAACAAAATGGCAAACTAGCATGCAATTAATTGGTGAAGAAGCATTGTAGGAATCCACAAAATTTTGGTTCTCGTCAAGGTGCATTTACTTTCACCTTTCACTGGTAGTGTCAATATACAATGAGAAACTTTTACAATGCTTTGGCTTGTCACAGTTTAAAACTTCACATGGAGCTAAAAGGCAGACCAATACGCCCATCACTGCCTCAACTAGCAATTCCAAAACATGAGTAACCATATTCATTCAACACTAACTTTAATGATGATATACTCCACTATGTGTAATTAATAACAGCTCTATTTTGTTAAGATCCTCACTCGCGGTTATTCTGTGGCCAAATATCTACTTCCTTGCATACAAAAAAGGTAATCGTCATAGTGTTTCATGATCATGCTCACAAAAAAAAAAATCACGTGTTATGTTATTCCATCAGGTCTAAAAAGAAGGCTTTTCTTGCTGAAGAATATAACTTATAAAATACTACAATGCACTAAAACATACAGAAAGAGAAACATTGGTGTACAGAATGAGTATTTAAGTCACCTTTCATGACTATCGGCCCTCTCAGCCATAATTCCCCTCGCTGACCAGGAGGTAAAGCCTCTTTCGTATCAGGGTCAACAATCTTTGCTTCGATATTCTCAGTCAGGCGACCAACAGAGCCAAATCGCTTTGCCTCGTCAGCCCCTAACATCCTGGTAGCTGCTCCCCCAGTCTCAGTCATACCATATCCCTGCAACCAATATCTTCGAAATAAGATTTCATTTCAAAGCTTGCATCACCTTAAGAGTATAGAGAACTCCACAATTGCCACTTGCCACTAACTCATACCAGTGACAACACACTTCCAAGTCTTACCGCGACAAAACACTGAGTTTATATGACATGCGCCATTGATAATCTAGTTAAATTCAGCCATGTGACTAAGAGCAAGACAGGTAAAAAAAGGAAAGGGAATCCGCATTTTTGTCATTGACGATACTACATTCTTCGCCCTTCGTCCTCTATGGTGATACTACCATTTAGAAAACTTCTTAATGCAGAAAAATTCTCATATATGTCCCGCAACCGCCAAACTTTCTGAGGAAATAAGTGCTAAAACTTTTAATGCTACCAAACAATACCCAAAAACTTTTAATTTCAAAGTCAAATGCTTAAATTTTAATTTAATTTGAAAAAAAATAAATATATATATATGAAAATCATTCTTATCCAATTAATCAATGAAAGATGTATTTCCATTTTTTTCCCCCAAAATAATTGCATGAGAATGTCCTTTTTAACACTACTGCATATTCAACGCACTGAAGAGAAAATACAAACTCCACCAGAAAAACTATGGCCCACCAGACCAAAAATCTAAGGTGTAAATGCTGTTCGGCTCCACCCAACTCGGTGGCCAAACACCGCCGCCACAATTGGCTGAGGACCGCCTTAGTGATCAGAACAGTAAAAGTCAACACACCAAAAGAAAAAAAAAAAAAAAAAGGAGGAGAAAATCCAAACACGTGCCTGAAAAATCTCCATGTGTGGAAACCGCGCCAAGAACTTCTCCGTGGCCTCCCTCCCCAGCGGCGCGCCACCGCTACCGAGAAGCTTAAGCGAACTCAAGTCATACTTATCCACCAGGTCGGACTTCGCCATCGCCACCACGAGCGGCGGAGAAACAGGCATGTACGTCACCTTGTACTTCTCCACCGCCTTGAGCATATCCACGAAATCGAACCTCTTCATCAGAATCAGAGTCTCCCCGGCGGCGGCCCCCCTAATTAGCATAAAAAACCCGAACACGTGAAACAGCGGCAACGGAAATAAGGAAACCGGATGAGTCGATTCTTCGCCTTCTCGGACGTATCTGTTGTAGTACATACCGGCGACAACCGCGATTAAATTCCGGTGACTCACCTCCACTCCCTTAACTTTTCCGGTTGTTCCGGATGAGTACAAAATCGCCGCCGAGTCATTCTGATTGACGACGACTCCGGAGGTATAATTTTTCCCCCAATTCTCATTCCCGCCGGTGATCATGGACAAGAATTGAGGGGAGTCAATAAGAATGGTTTTGGATTGGAAAGATGGAGGAAGTTTAGAGGAAATAGATAAAGCGGTGAAGATGACGGAGGGTTTACAGAGGCGAAGCAAGTGGGCCAGCTCGGCGTTGGTGGAGAGCGGGTTCGCCGGAGAGACGGTGATTCCGAGAGAGAGAAGGGAGAGATACAGAACAGGGATGTGAAGCGACGGTGGGGCGAGGATGAAAGCGACATCGTTTTTGGCAATCGACGGGAACTGGGATTGGATTGAGACAGAAAGAGAGCGGATTTGGGTGAGTAAGGTGGCGTAGGTGAGGTGCTCGCCGGTGGCGGCGTCTATGAGGAACGGGGTGGCGAGATTGGTGGTGGAATCCGGGGCGGAGATGGTGCTCTGGAGGAGGGACAGAGTGTATTCGGCAATCGAAAGCGGTTGAGAAGCCGGCGGTAACGTAACTGGCGGCCGGAGGCTGTGGTAAATCTTTGTTTCCGGGCAAAATCCAGTTCTGGGGTCAATAATGTTCTTCTGTTCCGTCATTGCTGTGTGTCTGTTTGTTAATGTTTTTTAGTGTGTATGTGTGTGTGTGTGAATATTCTTCTACTTTAATGAATGAAATGAAATCGCAAAGGCGAAAATGTCACATGGACCTTTTCTTTTTTTTTTTTAGCATAAAGGAGACTGAACGCCTAAATTCTTAAATTTCGGGGGTATACCATCACTATAATCCCTTTTATTACCCTATTAAAGCAGAAGACATGAAGCTTATGTGGCAACTACGTATGCATCTGTTTTGGCTCCAATGCACCATATTTCAGATTTCAGAAGTCTTTTTGCCACGTGTAAATATCTTTTAATTAGAAGCTATATAATTCTTTTTTTAAAAAAAAACACATGTTTTAAATGTGACACTTATCCAATGAAAAAATTCTACAAATAAGAATCAGTTACATTTCAAACAAATAGATATATTAATTCAAATTCAAATGTCCAATCGTACAGTTTTGCAGGCTTAATATAAACAAAAAAATAAAAAAACCTAAATCCAGTAATTAAGAATAATGCCTTATAAACTAATTATTTATTATTCCCTTATAACCTCAAATTTATAGGTATATTTTTTTAAGCCCCAAACCATAGCATAAATGATATATAGGCCAAATTAATTCTTCAAAAAATAGTAATTCAATTAGATTTTAATAAAATAGTAATTTAGAAGGGGCGCCCCGGACATCTGCCTGGGCCAAACATCTAGTATCATGTTGTAACCAAGGTCTAACACACGGTGTAACCATGGACCTTTGACTCACACATCCGGTCGGTTGGTCTGCGTGGCAGTATATTATCGGTATTCCTCTGAAGCAAATGCAATATTATTCATTTTCTGGAACAAAAAGACTACTATTGGACACACAACAGTAGATTGATTTTTTCTTGCGACACAGAGTAATTTTTTTCAGGTTTGGCTCATTTGGAATTTCTCTTGTCTTCTTTTTTTTTTTTAGAGAAAAAATTTACTCCCTCCGTCCCATAATTATTGTCATATTTGAATTTTCATTTTTAGTTCAAATTGTACTCCCTCCGTCCCATAATTATTGTCCATTTTGCTCAAAAAATTTTGTCCTAAAATTATTGTCCAATTTGACTTTTTATGGATCAAGTTACACATTTGTCCTTAGTAAGAAACATTATCCATGAAACATTAGTGGTTAAACAATTACTTATGTAGGGGTATATCCGGATGTTTAAGGTAAAATATAGTTAAGTTTGACCAAAAATAAAATCTTTCATTTAGTAAAACTGAACAATAATTATGGGACGGAGGGAGTACTAAAAGTGAGATCTCAAACTAGACAATAATTTTGGAACAGAGGGAGTATAATATATTAAAATCAAGAGTTACATTAGACTGACAAACGAAGAGTCGATTTTGCTAGCCTATGTCCTGTTTTTACAGTGTTCCTTCGAACATTTCTAACTATTACATCTATTGTACTTAATTAAAGCAACATACAAAAAGGACATATGTTAATTCTACGTTGAAAATTTTTCCGCCAAGAAGCATTTTGTACAAAATTATTAGATTCAACATTGTTGTTCAATAAATTCTTCTAAAAAATTATAATGACACATTACGAATTTACGATTGATTGCTTGATATAGATTACATAAGCCAACCATGTACTTTAACCAACAAGAATACCATATTTTAACACTCATAGTTTCAATAAAAGATCAACTTTGTTATAATTATTAACTCTAGTTATCAAATGATAAAAATAATTTTTTGGGTGAAGAAAAAAAAATACGCCAACCTCCTATTTTCATTACACATATGACGTATGTCATCTCATATAGTCATATAACTTTCGTTTTTTTCCACCACGGTCCGATTTCAAATAAGTTACACTCTTCTAACCTCTCACTCCCAAAAAGAAAATAATCCGTGTTACAATTGGTTTATGTTGTCTTGTTTATCAATGAACATCACCATGTGTGAAAGAGGGAACAAATGGATCAACTTAGCCACCAAAAATATACTAATCAAACTAATGACTATGTGAATAAATGAATATAGTAATATAACATTAAGCAACAATAACAGTAGACAATTAAAAAAGTTTAACAACCTCCAACTTGTATTCATCTTTGAATATATTTTATTTGCAAGTGGCTTGTACGCTTAAATCTTAATAATAATAATAATAATAATAATAATTTCTCAACACGTAGTTTTAAAAATGATATCGTTTATCACGTTGACAACAATATTTTCAAAGCTAAACGGCAGAAGAAACGAGAACTGGAGAAAGAGTTGTAAAAAGCAAGCCTAAAGAGTATTTTTGTTAGTTAACTTTTGAAGTCTAATTAGACTTTTTATTTATTTATTTTCATTTTTTGGTTATTACGAATTCTTCTCTTGGTGAATTTTCATGGATTTGTAAATGGCTGAATTTTAATTCATGAAAAATAAAGTATTGATCTTATATTTTCTTTGTATCCCGTCTGAATTTTTAGTTTTAGCAAGATTTATACTAAATGAAAATTAAAATCAGATAGTTATTTCGGGATACAGGAAATAATAATACTAAAACATTTTGATAAATGACAATTTTTAGGAAAAAAAAAAAACAAAAAACATGACAAGCGAGAGAGGAGGAGAATTTTGCCCCAAAGCTAATTGATAACTTTACGAACATAGGTCAACGTCGTTGGAGGTTGTTTATGAAGTTGGGCCTTCGTATGAAAAAACTAAAAGAGTCCAATCTGTAACCAGGCCAGTGCCAGTTTTTAAGACAAGTTTTTTTTTTTTTTTTTCTCCTGATCTTTAGAGTTCATCACTTATTCTGCATTCTTAGTGTATTTAGGGACGGTTACAAACATCAGCTGAATCTTGCATCTAGCTAGAATTTGAAGAATGCATGTAAAATTATGGATTTGGGGTTTTGAACTTGAAGATCAAAGCAATGCTGCTGCTGGAAACAGAATCCACTAGGATGTCGCCTTTTCTTCCTCCTGCTGCAAGTTTCTACAGATTGAGAAAACAGAAAAGGATCAGCGACCCTTCCCTCTGTCCCAACATTATTGTTCAGTTTGGATTTTCACTTTTTAATTTAAATTTGTGCCGAAATTGAAAATCCAAACTAGAAGAGATCAAAGATCAGACGGCATCATTGCACAAAATGTGTGACATATGATCTAATTTAATCGAAGTTACGGAAAAATATAGGACTCACTATTGGAATCTCTCAAAGAGGCTATACTTTACCTCTGCCCAGTTGCCCAGCGAGACAATTGATAGAGCTGAACAACTTCATTTGAGGCATGTGTCACCATAAGAAAATGGTTGCGAGGATTTACCACCCACGCAAACCTCATGAACAGAGCTGAATACACACAAAGTACTGCACAACACCAAAATTTGCATCGCAAATTCACTTCACAAAATTGGTTGGTTCTGTTCTCTTGAGAATGCGGTAACAGAGCCTTTTGATCAAAATCTCGAGATTACAATCTATTACTCCATCTGTTCCAAAATGATTGTCTAACAAAAGTGAAAATCCAACTTGTACCAAAGGTGAAAATCCAAATGAGACAATCATTTTGTGATGGGAGTTAATCTCGAGATCTTGATGAAAAGACTCAATGCTACAACCCACCCAAAAAATAAAAATAAAACAATGAGAGCATCAATAATGTAAAGGTAGTAGTACCTCCAGTCATAGGACCAGAAATCAGTTCAGGAGGTTTTTGGGTATCTGCCAATCCCTGCAAAATCACATTGAAAGCAGTCTAATTAGATCACACAAACAAACCAAAAAGTGCAGCTTTTTTGAATTTTGTTTTGCTCTTTTAAAAGTTGAGAAGGAATTACTGCAAGAATGAATCCCCAGTTGCCCACAGGACCCCAGAAGTGCGTGGTTTTAGGTCCAACAGGGCTGTTCAAGAATGCTCGAAAAGACGCCATAAGTCACTCTGTTAATAACAACAAAATCCAGAGGTAAAGATCGCCTTATACGAACCAGAAGAAGACGACACCAACAAAGGGAAAACAAAGATTGAAAACAGTTCAATGATGATCTTTCACTTCCAAGATTCTTGGAAAACATGTTAACATCAACTAGAGAAAAATCCCACAAAAAAAATTGAAGAGTTGACTTGAAGGTTCAACAACACCAGTATGAATCTACATGAAAATTAATCAAACAATTTCATCATCAACAAGAAAAATAAAATATGGGTTCTTGTTAGGAATGAGTACCTTAAACAACTGCTACTAAGGGATCAAAATCTGTGCTTTTACTTCCTCTGATTTACAACCAAAATGTATGGATAGCTTTAAATGGGCAAAGTACAGAGGACACGGGACTTTGTTGTCTTGATGCCGTCCCAGAAGGGAAAGTTGTAACTCCAACTTTAGTACGATGGCTGAAAGTAATGATATTAATGTAGTGCAGATAAGACCAACCGATTAGATGTCGAGGTTGTTGCAATTTTTTTCCTACCTATCCACTTCAGATTTCACGTATGCAGATTAGGCTTTTACTTTCTTGACTGTTAGAATAAGAAAAGATTTAAAAAGAAAGTTTTGTGGGATGGTCATAATAATTAAATCCATTTGTTTTGGGCTGTTAGGGATGATGATCAAAGAAATCTTCTTTCTTTTCATCTAACGTGTTTATTGGTCCGACATTAGTTAAAAGAATTTAATATTATTCTATATAGCTCCGTGACAAATTAGCTCTAGAGTAATGAATTGTTTTATCTTTTGATTTACTGAATATTCTTTGGCCCCGGGCCCTCTTTGTTAGGAGAAAGATGCACGAAATAAATGTATGCATATTTTTCTATATCTACGTCTCCATCTGATGAGTCAGTTAATGTTTAAAAGAGATGAAAAATGTTTCAATTAGGTAGGGGTGGACGTTTTATTGGAAAATTTTATAAATGGTAGTATTATAACATGATGATTCAAATCAAAGGGGGCGCGACAGTGACGCTGTCTTGACAAACAAAAAATGGAAAAACTAGCTGACGCATCACCATCAGCTCCTTCAGTTAAGTTTTACAAAACTTCATGAGGTCGATGTAGTTGACCTCAACCTTTCCCACCATGAAGAAGTTAGATATGTTACTGTATTTCGAGTTTTGCCCTCATCAGACAAAGCACTGAAGATCATCCTTAGGCAGTAAGAGCAAATTCGGGAACACAATGCCCTTTTTTGTTCTGTGCCGTTGAAACTTAAAAATTGCTCTGGCCATAAGGCCAATTACCCTTCCAGATGGATGGGAGACAAAGCAGGGTATATGATCTAGCAAAATGTTTACTTTTTATTTTGTAAATGAATTGAGCTTCAGAAGCTCATTTGGAAGTGTGCTTACATTTAGGAAGTTAAATCCGAAAAAAGATGAGTCTGTGCCCGACTCATGTCTCTGTTGTATCTATTTGACCAAAATCCAACATCAACAAAAAAGTTATGAATGCTTAGTCGCCGGCACGAACTCAATGCCCTTACAAATTAGGAAAGCGCCTTCTTGATCACACCTGTGACCTCCTCTGGTTTCTTCTCCGCCGGGAGGTTCGCAACAATACCCTTTTTATTGTAGTAATCGATTACCTGCCTCATGGCCAAGTGAAACAGTCAGACATCACAACAAAATAATGTACAACCAGCAGGCTAAACAATAAAAGGATTAACTTCAAATGGCATCAGGTAATTCAATTATCAGACATCAAAGTGAATTAGACTGCAGAAGCAAGAGAATTCCCACCAGAGAAATAATACAATCCATTCATTGTTTGCACAAAACAAAAAATGAATCATAGGACGCCACTAGCAACACGGATAACATGACTTTCTTTTATATTTCCTATCACTTTCCGACAAAACAACACTACCGACACTCAGAAATTGACACCAAAATGAGATTAAGCAAGAAAATTCCATTTACAACCCTACATATCCAAAAGCAGGAACTTTAACTCAGCCGACATTGAAGGAACAGTAAGGACAACTAACAATAAATGAAAGGAGTTCTCCATGTAACATAAAGTCAAGAAACATGGATTATAAACGAGGTTTTATCAGAGCACAAGTTTCATAGGAATTTGTTCAACCACAGATGTAAGATAGAAACATGAAACTAACATCACTTTGTTTGCTAACCAAGAATCAAACAAAGAAATTACCGGTTCAGTCTGCCTGTGGAAGGCATCTAGCCTAGATTTCAGTACAGCAGGAGTATCATCTTTGCGTTGAATGAGAGGCTCTCCAGTAACCTATTTCCAAAGAAAAGAAAAAGGGATTAAAAAATCAGGCTTGGGAAAAGATCAATCTGAAACACAACATTTCCATTAAAGACTAAACCCCCAACAATTCAAGTTTTAAGAACAAAACCCATTTTCAAATTAATAATTAATCTGTGCACTCACACACATTAGAATGAAAAAGTCACACACAGGAAAACATGAGAAACCATCAACATTCATAGGTCAAGCGCATAAAATAAAAATAAAAATAACTGCAATTATTTATGGTCTTACATCATCAACTCCTGGTACTTTAGGGGGAGCAAATTTTGTGTGGTAAGTTCTACCACTAGAAGGGTGAATCCAGCGGCCAGTAATTCTCTCCTCCAAGATGGCATCATCAATAGCAAAGTTAAGAACCTTATCAACTTTAACTCCTCTGTTTTCAAGCATTTCATCCAGCTGGAAAAGGAAAAACAGAAAACAGTTATGAACTGATAATGATGATGTACACTTATGACCAGAAAAGTGCACAGAACAGAAGGTTCATATCCATTCACAGAACAAGAGAAACCTTTTGTGCTTGGACCACGGTTCTCGGGAATCCATCAAGAATGAATCCTTTCTGGCATGAAGGCTTCTTAAGTGCATCATCTATTATGCCAACAACCAAATCATCTGATACAAGCTCCCCCTAAGAAACAATGAGTGTGGACGATTCAGAAACAAAGAAATTCCACAAGGACATAAATACACACACAAAACTCATACTAAGATCCTGAAATAAATGTATTAATCTTAAGTAACTACCTTATCCATGGCCTCTTTAGCCTTGACTCCAAGAGGGGTTTTGGCTGCAACAGCAGCTCTTAGCATATCACCAGTAGCCAAGTGACATAAGCAATATTCATCCTTAATTAGAGGTGATTGTGTTCCCTTTCCGGACCCAGGAGGACCTGCACACCAAAATTGCCAAGGTATTGAGAGTTGAACGATTCCACATAAAGTAAATCAAACAAACAAATATTCAAAAAAGGCAATACACACTTCAACCAGAGCATGTGGCAGGTAGATATTGAACATGGTCTGAGAACTTGACACTCAAAGACTGTACTATGAAGTGAAAAATGCGCAAACCTCACATGACTGAAATTATTATCCAAGCAAAGCTTTAGTTTTCCCCCAAGAGGGAAGTTCAGTGGAGCTATCAACAACAAATATTAAAAGAAAATTGGTTTATAACTGCTGGAAATAATTAAAGTATGAAATCATCAGAACAGAATCTGAAAGCATGGAGCTTTAAAAAACATCCCTTTTTCTCTTCGGTGAGGAGGCATCAGAAAACTTTCAGAAAAGATGAGCATATCAGATACCTTTTCTATGTAAATAATAACAATCCCGAATTGAAACAAAATAGAAACTCTAATGTCACAATAATGATCAGTGTTGAAACGAAATAAAAGTAATTAACATCCATTTAGTTTCAGATAAATGTAGACTGGGTAATGGGGGCAAAAAGAACACCAGCAGTTTTTATAGGCAATCTTGTAAGCCAAGTGACATTGTCTTCATAAGCATACATTAAAAGGAATAGGTGATATAACATTCCCTCCATAATTAGGCAAACTTTAAGTGGATCAAACTCTGACACCATAATCAACCATATTTCAAGTGGAAGAATACCAACAAACCTTAAAATATTATTCAAACAAGAAATATTAAATAAAAGAACAACAAAGAAAGAGCCCCATTATATGTTATTCTCCTCTTATTAAAATGTCGCTAGGTTGGTTATACCACATGAATCCTTGCTCACAAGTAAAGCTCGGTATTCTCAACTACATAAATTCATACAGAAAAGGTTCAGCAGGATATTCTAAAATGATAAACTCATTGACCTTAAGAAATTTACAATGTCTAGCTAAATTGTTGAAAAATCCAAGAGAAGCATTCCTAACTTCTCTATAATTGTCTCCGCCGAACAACTACAACCCAATAAACACAAACTCAAAGGTGTAACTTTCTTGACAACAGAATCAAATATGATATAATGTAATTGAGAAACAACCTCGAATCTAATAACTTTAAATACAAGAACTTTACCTCTGACAAACATAAGATTCAAGAGGAATCAAACAGCTTAGCAGGAAAAAAGAAGCAAACTTGAGTCTATAAAAGCCTAATATCCCACACCAAGATAAACTATATCAGACTAATGACAATGACTGAAAAAATTGAATCCTTCAATCAAATGTGGACATAAAAAACCATCCAATCTACCTTAAACATCAACACCCATAGAATAGAATCAAAAAGTTCAAATGTTTCCAAAAATTTCAACCAATGCAGAGAGCACAATTAAATCTCAAAGCTTTCAACTTCTTCACATAAATAGCAACCATGTATTTTTGTTTTCTTAAAAAAAAATAATAAATAAATTAAAGTGAATTCCAAAACAACTCTAATTCACTAGGAACTAACACCTCACAAAGCGTAAGCTTCAGTCAAATTCTTATTCACAGATTCAATAGCAGGGAAGTCCCAAGATTAAAATACAAGCTACTTCCACTTACAACGAAAACATAAAAAACAAAAAAATTAACATAAATTCAAACGAGACTTAAAAAAGGAGCAAACTTTACAAAAACCCATGAAACCAAAGCAAACAAAAAAGATAAAAAGGAGGAAATTACCAACGAGGATAAGGCGTTTGTCAGGTTTGGCAGAGCACTTCATGCGGCGGAGAAGTTCAGTCATGAGATCCACAGAGGGAACATCTTCCAAATTCGCAGCGCTGCCCGCCATTGCTACAGATCTCGGGTGCTGTGTTTTCCCTTCCCTCTTGAAGAATGGCTGTGGGGGTTTTTGGTTTGGTTTTGTTGTAACTGAAAAGGGAGAAGAAGAAGTTGAGGTGTTGTTATTAATGTTTGGTTGGGGTGCGGACCTTACAACGTTTTTTTAAGCCTTTCAGAAGTTCTATTCTAAAAGCAGCAGAGTTTTGTAGACTATTTTTTTTTTTCCTCTCTTTTTTCCCTTTTTTTTCTTTTTGTTTATTACAGAGTTACTCGTAGTTGTTGTACCAAAACCCGGAAAATTCTTGTAAATTTGTATAAACTCCCAAGGTTTTGTCTGCGGAAAGACTCTTATGCCCTCCCAAGGTTATGTAAATTACCCTTTAGTACAACAAACGAGGAGACGTTGCCCTTAATACGGCCTAGTTTTTGCAATTGAATCTTGTTTTGCCTAATTTTGAAGCACGAGGAACTCGGTGCTATTTGAGGTCGGAAAATCGCATCACAGAGGGCCACTCAAGACTCGAGCAGGCCTAGATTGACAAAGGATTAAAGGTAACTTAACTTCCTATTGAAAATAGCATTTGATGGAGATCATTCTGACAAAGCCATCATAGACAGCTCCCATATATAGGAGAACTAGGCCATGTTCATCAGAGTACCAAAATACTTGCTAGGATATAGTTTTCATACGGAATTAAACCAATTCAACTAAGGGAACTAGCTAGCAAAATATGGGTATCAATCTTCTCTAGTAAATACAACTTCAATATCAAAGTGAAAAAACGATACAAGGTGCAGACTTAACAGTAGAAGAACATCACAATAGCTATTCATCGTCTTCGCCCTTGGATTTCTTCTTTTTCTTCTTTTTACCTTCGCTAGCGGCAACAGGTGCCTCAACGTCTTCATCCTTGCTCTTCTTCTTTTTCTTCTTTTTTGCTGTTCCATCATCTACTGGGACAGCATCTTCTACATTTTCTTCCTCGTGCTTCTTCTTATCCTTTTTCTTCTTCTTCTTCTCTGTTTTAGGTTCTTCAGAAGCATCCCCATTTGCATCAGCAACCGGTGTATCCTCTTCCATTGCTTCTGCTTTGGATTTCCTTTTCTTGCTTTTCTTTGTGGAAGGCTCATCTACATCCATTTCCGAATCTGCGAATGAAATTACAATATATGAGAAAGAGAACTCCCATTGTACCCAGAAAAAAAAAAGAAAAAAAGAAAGAGAACTCCCATTTATTTTAGTGGACAAAGAGCTTGTTGTCAAGCCAAAATTTTACGGTGCAATTTCAACAGGAATACAGAGATGCCCAACAACCAAAAACAAGTAGCCTGACTCACCATTCTTAATAACATTTTCCAGAGCAGACTTCATCACATCAATATTTTTACGAGGTGCAACCCCCTTGTCATAAAAATCAAGTCTTTCTTCAACTTGTTCACGAAGTTTCTCCCCAAAGGCATTGGTGTTCTTCTCTGAACGTACACCAAAGGAACACCGATAAGTGAATCGCTGAATATGATGAAACTAAAATGAACTGGAGGTATGACACGCTTCCATACTTACCCAGAAAACAGTCAATGCGAGAAGCAATTGAGCATTTGTTAGCAAGATAACGAGCCATTCGACCTTTGTTTCTTGCAGATGCCCGACCAATGAAAGAGGAGTGGAATATTAGTCCATACTTAGGAGTGTTTCCTCGAGTTTTCAAGGCCCTGAAATCATAAAGTTAAACTCACTCATGTCAAAAAGTTCCACATGCCACAAAAATGCATACCATTAAAGTAAACGGCTTGCAATCATTGGCAATCTATTGCCCAATATTCTAAAAGAAAAATAGTTAAGAGAAGAGGAAGTGTAACCCTGTTTTCAACTACATCAAAGGGACCATGGAACACAGTAGTATACCTGAACAATGCCTTCTCAGCACCAAGGATCTGAAGTGTAGAAGAAGGACATTTTGCCAGGTTTGTAAGACTTCCAGCATGAGAAATCAAGCGAGCCCCCACAACTTCACCAATGAGAGCAGCCAGGTTTGGTGCTATGTCATTCATTTTAGCAACTAGATAGTCATAAAGCGTCTTCCTGTACTCAGCAAGGTCGATCACCCTTTGTGCAAATTGCTTGACATTAATCAAGTCAATTGGGGACAAATCCTGCCCTGCAATTTTAAACAAGAGGCTCAATGACATATCAATATAAGATGACTAGAAAACAAGCATTGACGCCACACGAGCTCCAGGCTGAAGGCATACCCATTGATGCTTTAGCAGCTTCCACAATTTCTTTTGCTTTATCTTCATCGCCCACAATATCAGTTAGCTCTGGTATTTGCTCTTCACTTAACTGTGATTTGTCTTCAATAAACTTGGCAACTTTAGCATAGAGATAATTGTCATTGATAACCTTTACCAATTCAGGAAAATGCCAAGAGTACCATTCCCTGAATTAAGAAAATAATAAGAAATGAAACTAGTCAGCTTTTAAGGAAGTGGCAAAATGTCGATGGTTAGAACAGCCAAACAACATACATTGGACTTAACAACATTAGCAAACTAAAGCACAAAATTTTAAGTATACAGTTTAAGACTAATAATATTGATTCGAATAAGTACAAAATCGAATTTGTGAGGCAATGCTACAAACCTGACTCTCATTGAAAAGGAATTAACATCCTTGTCAAGGGTATCCAGAAGGAAGATAGCCTGAATAACCATATTGTCAACACGGTTAACATTGAACTTCACTTTGGCTCTGCTGTAACTGTGGCCCAAACCAAGCTGAGCTTTCTCCAAGTCACCACTCTAATAGAATAAATGAAGCCAAGGAATTCAGTCAAAGGTATTATCTGAATTGTTCAGAGCAGCAAGAGGAAGCCAATTTAAAAAGTGCATACCTTGAGGTTCTCAATAAATTTATCAAAATGGAGACGAACACCGCGAAGAAGCTCATTGACAAACTCATTGCTCTGGCAGGGAATCTTAGTCTCTTCATGAATATGGGAGCCAAGTTTAGGTTCTGCTACACCTAAGCTGTATTTAGGCTTTTTACCTTCCTTGGGTTTTGGAATAGACGCCTCCAAGAAGTTTCTGAGCCCATCAGTCATTTGCCCTATCCAAAAAAAAAAAAAGAAAACAGAAAAGAGATATATTAGATACCTTGGCACTTCAAGACAAAGATGTGGTAAAACATGTATCAGCACTAGAGAACTAAAGTCTATCAAAATGGCAGAAAAGATTACAAAGTGAAACTATAAAAGCAAACAATATTTCTTTGAGGGACAAAACATTACCCCTTGTTGACCCACAACCGTGTGACTTTAAATTACAACACACAAGAATAACTATATAATTTTTTGTCTTCAAATATTACCTGTTGAATAAAATCTTTAACCTTAACAACAGTAATTACAGAGCTTTTGCAAGAAATGCAAATGACTCCAGCCGCATGTAAAATTCTCACCTTACATTTCAGACAGATACATTTATCTACAATTATGTTAACTATGGAACTCATGCACAATCAATCAACCATTTGTCAAAGATACTGTTATCGTTCACTCAAGCTTTAAGTGCTTTCTGTAAGCTACTGTTGTTAACACAACACTATTGTTAACATTTGACATACAAGATGATTAAGTTACACATATGTAATTCATCTTCCATTCCCAGTTACCTTGGCATCACTTTTAAAGGTGTTATCCTACCTTTACCTAAATTCTCCATGCCCTTAGCTATACTACATACATAGACCTTTAAAGCACAAGCTCTCAAAATGAATCTTGTACTAATTTTAAACAGATGTTATCCTCCATTTACACCAAACACATACGAATACCCATCCAACCATTTGAAATTTATTCCAATCTTTAACAGCCCATCATGAGTTCCTCACTTCTTTCCCCAAACTCTCTGTCTTCCAAACCCACATCCCAAATTCATCAGTTGTGCTAAAAGCTTACACATTAGCAGCATACAACCCGAAAATAAGTTACCAAATAAGCGGTTTAATAACACGAAAGTGAAAGAGAACTTTTTTTTTTGAAAAATACAAAACGATACAAACACTCTAGTGGAGAAACTAGTAAAATTAATCCGTGAGTACAGAGCAAACACAGAGCAGAGAAACGAACCTTCAGAAACGGAACTGCATTGGTTAAGAGCATCGAGGGCTGAATCAAAAGGGGTAAAAGCTTCAAGCTTCACAACTTTGGTAAACCGGGTGAGGTCAGTGACGGAGCTCTGAACAGCCTCGGTGTTCTGCCCGATTTCATCCAACCCGTAGGCCGAAAAGAGTGCGTACCCAGACGCCGACTCATAGAGCAGGTACAACGCCATTGGTAGAGCTTCTCTCTACCAGAACGAACTCACGGCGTAATTTCTAATAAAAATGGGTTTGAGTTGACGATGTTAAAAAGGAGGAGAGGTGAGAGGGGGGCGACATGAAATAGGGTTTAAGAATTTAGGGTTTTTGAAGAAGGGGCTGGGGACAAGGAGTGTGCCCAAAACCTCCAAGAGATTTTATGAAAATTACCAAGTAGTTCTTAGGTTCCAGAAAACTATAAAACGAACCCTTACTAATAAACAATTTAATTTCTTCCCCGATTTCTCTTTCCCTCGCCTTCGGTTCAAAGTTGTTTTCTTCAATTATTATGGTGAAATTGATCGAACTGGATTAAATTAACCAGAACGACTACCACTATACTTCAAACTCATTCCCTTCTGGGCAGGCCACTTGATGGTCCCCAAAGTATGGTTTTGACGGGAGAATCTCGCGTCATCGTTGCGCCGAGATTGGAGTTTGGTGTGAAGATTTCGAAGGAAATTTTGTTATGGGAAGATCGAAAAAGTGCAAGGCACTTCTGAAGCCGAAGTGTCCGAAGCTTTGGCATTGAAGGAAGCGTTGTTGCTTGCGGTGGAGTGTAATCTGGTGAATTTCTCAGTTTGCGGTGATGCCCTAAATACCATTATTGAAGTTCAAACAGTGGTCTCCTCTCAGACCCGGTCATAGAATCAATTTGCACGCTACTCAGCCAGATTCATCCTACAGGGATTTTTTGGATCCACCGTTGTAACAATCATGTAGCACATGAGCTTGTATCCCTAGCAAAGAATAGTTCCGATGAATGTACCAACTGGTCGTGCTTGTCAGAAACTATCAGTTTAAAGCTGCTGGACGATTTCCAACAGTCTTAAATGAAATATCTTTTTTTATAAAAAAAAAAAAATTGTTTGTTTACAGCTAAAAAGTGAAATGGGTTTTACTTTTTTCTGCTCCGTATTTTTCTTTTAAAAAAATTCTAAAATTTTTTTATTTTGGGTCAAAGGTCGTGAGACTCACTTCCAGTAAGAAATAAATAAAATAATTAGATTTTAACGAAAGTAAGAAAACTTTCGTTCAAAATTCTGTTAAAGATACCAAAAACGATGAAGTAAAACTTTATAAGAACTAAAATTTCCCACGAAAACATTCTGGTGATTTGGGTTGGGTTACCCCCAAACTTTGTAGACTAAAACTGGGATTTGTCCTTTAACTCGTGAACAACAGAAGTAATTTAATTTTCGGCAACAGAGTAGGAACGCTTAACCCTACGACATGTTTTTGTGTAATCTCATTTGCCCTATTCAAGCAAAATACAGGATGATGATGTGACAAATCCTTATTAAAAGTTTTTTGCTCTAAATGCACCAGGTTGCATAAACAATTTTGCCACGTATTATCCCTTTTTAAAAACAAGAAAATAAAAATAAACGGATGAAAAGATTCCACAACACACTTTTGGATCACATGAAATCCCCACAAATTAGTAAAAAATCAAAATTTAAAGCTCTTTGTCATATTCCGTCCAAACTGTTGAACACTCCCATTTTTACGAAGATTAAAGCATCCAAAAAATCAACATATTTAACCATTGCTTCAATTCTCTTAAAATCCCATAGATCACTCAAACCAAAATTTTGCTTCAAATTCGAATCAAAAGGTTTCAATTTTAAACGAAGAAGATGATCTCTTTAGCTTCCGTTGGTTTCCTATTTCATATATTCCTCCTTTTTTGCAACATAAGCCTAGGTTTAAGGAGCCAAGGATGTCGTCAGTGACGGAGAACCTATTCAACCCAGGTAACCCATAATTTCGGCGAAGAAAAAGCAACCAAAATAAGTAGCAGCACTAGTTCCGACGAAGTTAATTATTCCGACATTGCAGCAGTCATACAAAAATAATAGACCGCGATCAGAAAAGATGGCTGAAGCAAAAACAAAGGAAGAACAACAATCGGAGGTGATAACGCGGGAATTTCGAATAACTACAATATCATATATGAAGAAATTACAAATAGCAATAATCAATCGATAGCAGCTGGTGGTGGTTGTTTGAAAATCAATCGTCACAAGGTCAGATTGATTTCCTCCTTTTCTATCATTTTAATTGGAAGTTAAAATTTATAAAATTGAATTTGGTACAAAAACAATGATTTTTGATTAAAGATTGATGTTTTTTCTTGATTCCCTGTGTTTTGTTTGATGTCTAGAACAGGTTCATGGTGCCTAATTGAGATTCTTTGATAACAAGCCAATCTTGGATAGTCTGATATTCCATCGATTGCTGCGGTAAAATTCTTACTTAGAAAGTTTTATGTTCTATTTTGGCCAATGTGGATTTTACTATGTTGCCCCTTCGCAATTCCCGATTTAAGTATTTCAGTCTCCAGGGCTAAAGGTGTCATGATTACTAGAAAGATGATACTTGGGATGAGTACTCTGTAAGCATATCAGCGATGTAAAGCTATTAACTATAAATAATATAGGAAATTAATACGTGTGAGTCACTGAAGCAGTTCTTCGAAATTATCAATATTGATACTATCATATAAGAAACATGGATCCATTGATAGGAAATTATTGGTTCTTTTTTTGTTTCGGGGAAATTGCGTGAAATTTTGTATCTTCCATTTTGATTTTGGTTGTCTTTCGTTTAATTTTTATTATGTGGCATCTTTGCCTTTTTACATATACTCTCGTAAATACATTTGTTCTCTTTCCAAAACATGATTGCCTCTCCGGCACTAAGTTTGAATTCAACCTAATAAAAAAATTAAACTCCTAAAGATTGTCATTGTTCTTGGTATTAGGACCTCATGACCTTTTTATAGATATAAGCGTAGCAGAAATAGACTTGTGATGTAATCAATACCATCTTAGTATAGAAGAAAATGAGAAATTGAAGAAAATAAGAAATAAAGACTACATTGTGATTGATTTGATTGCAAAATAAAGAGTAAATATAATATTTATAACCATGCCTACACTATTGGATAAAAACTACTCTTGATGATAAAAATTATTTTTAATAATAATAAATTACCTATCACAGTAATCCCTATCACTAAAATCAATCCCAACTCCACTACTCTTGATAATTATCTTTAATATCCTCCCTCAAACTGAGTCGAAGTTGGAGACTGAGTTTACTCTGATTGTGTTGACGGCTTTCTCATCCTTCAGAACAGGAGTAGTGAAAAACTTGTAGACCACCATCGATCTTTTGTCTTGAGTGATTCTTGCCATGTTTTGGACGACTTGCTGGAAATTTTTGTTACTTTGTTAGATTATGGTATGACAAGTCAAAACTCCTCCTTGAGAAGATGACTTTTGCCACATTTGGAAATTTTTGTAAATGTTAGATTGTTATATGACAATTTAAAACTCTTTTTTCTTTTTTTTTTTTTGAGCATTCGACTTTTGTCATAATAGAATTTTGTAGAGTGACTCAGAGGTGTCTTGCCTCTTTGTCTAAAATTTGTGGATCAACTGAAGTTGATTTGTGAAAAAATAAAATAAAAATTTGTGGTTCAATGAATTGATTTGTGAAAGAGTTTTGGGGATTGTAGACATTCTTGAGAGAATCGAATTGGAGTATATGATTAGTAGTGGAGAAGAAAGACAAAATAGTGGTTTGGGATGAATTTGGAGTTTAAACATGACGCAACTACTATATTATGAATGAACATGATCAAGAAATCATGTATTTTTTAAAGGAAAAAATTAGTGAGCAAAAGCTAGAAACTATGATTTATTATTTTTTTAAGGTAAAAAAAAAGTAAGCAAAAGTAGGAAAGAATCTGATCTGATATCAAAAAAAAAACTAGAATTTTAAAAACATAAATCAAAGAGAGAAGAATGAGAATAGTTTCTAAAGACTACATTGTGATTCATTTGATTACAAAATAAAGTGGAAATACCATATTTATAATATATCTACATTATTAGATAAAAACTACTCTTGGTGATATAACAAGAAGAAAAATTGGTATTTATTTAGAAAAATAAAAGTAGAGAACAAACTAATGGAGTGAAGGACTACATTTCTATTTCCTTAATGAATAAAATACATCAGATGTCTTTTTATAGGCTTAGTCTACAAATATGATAATCATGTAAACTAGCTAATTTTTATAAAGTGATAAATATAAATAGTTGATCACTAGAAGTAACCAACTAGATTAAAACTAATATAAAACTTCTATCTCTTTTATACTTTATCTTTTAACATTTCTCCGCAAACTGAGCCGGGACTAAAGGACTGAAGGCTCAATGCGCAGTTTATTGTAGAATAGAATCCACTGGATATATTACTTGAAACTTGATTCTAAGCTTGTTGTGTCTCATATTATGGATCTGGATCCAGACTTATGAAGCTTCAATAAAAAAAAAATATTTATTGGTAGATTACCAATGTCACACAATCTTGTTTTGAAAGTGTGAATGTGATCTCCAATTACCATGTTGCCATTTTTGTGGGGATGTGTGAGTTTTCTTAATAATTCTTCGAAAAATATGTGTACTTCATGTTTGAGTGCTTTCCGGAGAAATATGTGTCTAAAAAACTTTGACAAGTCTAACGGATTTTCTCGGACTTTTGTCATGATTGAAATTTTTTTGATTGGATCCAGATGAGACTTTTTTTTTGTGGTGATTAATGAAATTTGAGGATGAACAAATGGTTGAGCTGTGAGTTGATGGATATGTTCTTGGCTATGTGCGATAATCTCTCCATGCAATAAATAATTGGTTGGAAAGAATTTTAGAATGATAAAATTTTAAATATCTATTAAGAGACATGCAGAAGTCATGATTGATAGATTAGATATGCGGAAGCAAAAAAGTAAATAATGGAAAAAAAATCCAGACGCAGGATAAAACCTGCTCTGATACCAAGAAGAAAATGAGAAATTGAAGAAAATAAAAAAAATGAACTGGAATAATTTCTGAAGACTACATTGTGATTGATTTGATTACAAAATAAAGAGTAGATACTATATTTATAACCATGTCTACAC